AGGTATCTCAGCCCTCCCTGAGCCATTTCCAGCCCTATGTAGGCGGGTATTCAATTTAATCTATAGTAATTCATATTTAGTTATTTTTTGAATATATAATTATGAAAATGGGTAATAATTTATATTTTTTGATATGATTGCTTTGTTTTGTGGAATTGATAAAATTATGTGTATAGACTATATATTGTAAATAAACCTAGGTGCACCTACATGCTGCATGGAGAGGGACACGAGGGCGATGCATATATTTTAATCTAAACCCCAAAGTTGGGTAGTAACTAGTTAAAAAGTTCAAAGTTATCAGAAAAGTAACTTTTAACTTAACTAGTTAAAAAATTAGAATGTTAGAAAATAACTTATAGGTACCTAGATATTTTGTAACTTTAGTAGGTACCTTGGTTTATTTTCATTAAGTTATTTTTCACTTGGTCAAAAAGTTTGAACATTTAATAAAAGATTCCTCGTAAGTATTTCTACTTCAAGCAAAAATAAAAAATACACGTAGTAGGGACACTGCTTATAAGATACCCACAGCGGCTTGATGGCTAAAAATTTCGGCCCGGGATATTGCCATGCGATAGGCCCCCCACCCAATATATTATAAATTTCAGTAAAAAAACTTTTTTATTTTATGAGTTATCGTATTAGTTATTTATAATTTAAAATAATATACGTTTGACACTTGAGTGTTGAGTACGTACATTATTTTTAGGACCACCTAAATTACCAACTAGATTCACTTTCCTACCCTGAAAAAATTATGAAATAAAAAAATTGAAGTATTTTTCCCGTCACAAAAAGTGACACACAGTTATAACAATTTTTTTCTTTTAAAACACACCACTATGAAATCAATGCATTCATCGCTCGGCTCAGAATATAAAATATAAATATATATTTTATAAAATGTTTGTAGGATAAATGAACTCATGTGTACTATGTACTACTTAGTACAGTCAAAATTACATCCAAAATCGTAATGTGAATATACGACAACAAACAACGTAGATATGAAGTTAAATATTATCAAATAATTTATAATCCAAGGGTATCGGCCCGCAGAGAACTTTCTTGGTATCCCGGTGGACCAATCCTCAGCCGAACCACTGGACTAGACACTATACTCACTAGTTCGTAGTTCGTGCGACTACGGTCCCTTGTCCAGGCTTGTCCATATGTGATACCAAATAAATATTAGAATATCATAAATTAATTATCATAGAAATTTGCTTTATCATAAATCATAATACTATAGTTAAAGTAGTAGGTACTAGTAGTTAGTCTTAGATCACATATAATCGTATATGATCTAAGTAGTCAGTACTAACTACATGGCTACATATATGGCAGGTAGGATAACATGCTGAGAACCTATCTCGGACTGTACAATATCTGACAACGATTGAACCAATAAATGCTTTATGGCTACGGCCCTTTTTACCTATAGCGGTCAATGGTCATTGAAAATTCCCAATGGGAATACAATTTTGAATTTAGGTTATTATATTTTTCACGAAACGATAACGTTTAATAGATGATGTTTACTATCTATATCAGTGACGTAGCGAAGGGAGATATCGAGAAGTCTTCCTCCGAGAGTTCCTTAAGGGGTGGTAGGCGGTGGGTGTGTATTGGGCCTAGTAGGTGATAATTTAGTTTGAACCATACTATTTTTATAATAACCACAGATTACTAACTAATTTACAAATATGACAGTTAATGCGCCTGGGGTTGAAGGGTTGGTGAAATATAAGACTAGTTCCTGAAATATATCAAGTTCACCATGCCAATGTGGCACTGTTTACTGTACCTACTGGCTAGTTACCTACTTATAGTTCACAAGTTCACAATAAACTAAGATAAAAACAAGTTATTTATTCCCATTCACAGAGTAAAAAACATTTTTATGAGTGTGGGTAATCGTATTTAGTTATTCGTTAATACTTAATGAAAAAAATTAATTTTCAACTTTTAATTTTACTTACGTTATTATTTCCCTGAAAGTAGTTATGTTACTTAGTTTAGTCACTTAAAAACATTTATATTTTAAAATTAACGTTAAATACCTATCTTCGAAAATTGGTAAATTTGCTCCGCTCCGCAGTAGGTAATACCTATTCTGGGTTTAATCGCTGTGAATTTTTGGGCACTATTTAGGTCTTCATCTATACTTCTATATTAACTTAAGTAGGTGACATATCTATTTTTGACAATTATTTTTCCGTCAATCAGCCAGCTATACAGGTATTCAACACTTCAACAGGACATGAGTACAGTCTGTATAGGACTTATATATTCTTATTTTGTCTATTGTTTTTTTAAAGGTTACCTTAAGGAACTTACTTACATATAAGTAAGAAATAATTTTAACTACAGAAAACCATTTTAGAATCTATGCTGTAGGTATAGTCCAAAATAGTTAAAAGGTATAGCGAGGTAGCTATAATTTTTGTATTTTGAATTACAATTATATATAAATATATAAATTCATTTCATTACATGTAATTAATTAAATGTGGAATTATGCCTGTATAATATTAACTCAGGTATTAATTTTCTGTAGTTACAACTTAAAAGACTGCAGGTAAATGCAGGTTACATAAGTCACAAGTTATTTTAATACATCGTGAAATTTACAATTATTATAGTGGCCAATTGGCAACTACCCATTTTTATTTTAAATTCTGAAAAAATAAATACTAAACAACATTCTGCTGTAATAAAAATTGTATAACATATCTATTACCTACATTTTAAACTATAAGTTGAGTGTTGAGATGTAGGTATTACGATTTTCTTTTAGTTTTATCTGTTTCAATTTTATGAACTACTAATCAGCATCTACCTCCTGCCCTTCTATAATATCTAGTCTAAAGACCGGTCAAGTGGCAATATTTATACATTGGCTATAAGGCTATTTCTCTATACGTAATACCTACTTTTATAAGTGTTAAGTATAAAACATATTTTTTCTATTTAGTATGAATGCAATCATATAGAAATGTATAATTTACTGATTACCTTTAGTACCTACATAGGTAAGTACTCTAAAAAGTCCTCAGTCTAAACAGCCAAAGAGAGGTTCCCGATTTTTAAATGTAAGTATAGCAATAGTAGGTAGGTATAGCTTTCAATTTCTTGGTTAGGTATATTAGATAGGTAGGTTCTTTGGATTATATCGGGACATTTTTGACTAGCCACAGGATACCTAAATAGTAAATACCTAAATGGAATTCCACAACTCAGCTCATCCAAACTTTAAAAAATTATTATATAATAAATACAATTTAAATTTATAACAAATTTGTTTATACCTACGTATTAAGATTCCCAGAGTAAAAATTCTGCTTTGGAGTATAAAATTAAAAAGGGGAAAGTAAGTAGGTAAGCGCTCTGCTGTACAGACTTACAACAGGACTATAGAAGTAAAATAGTCTATATCGACTATAATATCCTATTACATGGGCGGATAGGCCAATTTTGGCCTACCGGGAAATTTTACAAAGGGCCCTACACATGAAAAAAAAATTATTTTCAAATTATTTCTATCGTAGGTAATTGCATTTTATTAAAGGGCCCCATTACCGAAATACGAAGGGGGCCCACCGGGAAATGCCCGGTAGGCCTATCCGCTCATGTAGGATAGTATGTGTATTTAACACGCCATTGGGTAGGTTAGTGTAGTCCGTAACGGATGACGTGTTAAGTACTTAAATTAGAATTCAAAGATAATATATTAATTATTGTATACAAAAAAAATTAAGACTGTAGACGGTTTGTCAGCCTATTTATTAAATTCATAAAAATAAATTGCTATTAATTATCATTGAAATTAATTTTACTAGTAGTATCTAACACATAGCTACATATTAAGTAACTATAAATAGATAATAGCATACAATTAATCTAAATGTTTTAAAACATCGTTATATACCTATATAAAATATAGGTAGGTAACAATATTCTTAAAAGCTTCAAATACTCATGAAAAATATTTTTGATTTACATCAAAATAACTAAAATCGTTATTCTTTGTTTAAATCCAAACTTCAAATGTCTATACAAAAAAATTAAGTTTATACATTTTTAGATTCCATCGTTTCAGTATTAGAATTACTTGTAAGGAACTTGGTATTAATTTTTCAAGTTATTTGGTCGAGTAAAATTATTTTTAATAAAACATTAAATAGAGTAACTTCCAGGCAAACTTTCTTTTTTTGATAGAGGCAGTTAAGCTTCTTGGGGATAAAGTTCCATATTAGTTCTATTAAGATTTCTAATGTTAGCTATAGAGTAAAACGTATAGAATTTTTAACTGAAAAATAATTTAGAAAATCAGAAAAAATTCTCATGACTATAAATAGCACTAAAAAAGTCAAGATATTTTAAATATTCTACCATGTCTAGAATATATTCTTATATAAAAATGTTGAGTGTCTACCGTTATTCTCCTAGAATTACAATGAAATATCAGTAATCGATAGATGGAAATAGGTTAACTAACCGGTGAAAATCCAACATAGAAAATTCAAGTTTTTTGCAATTGAATGAAAAGACAGAAATGCATTGGTCATTTTTAATTTGGAATTTTCAACAGTACCATTTAAATCTAATTTGCTATAAGAATACACATATAAAGTTGAAAATCAAAGATTTTTTTCTACAATTTATTGCGTCAACAAAAATATCACTGTTCACATTTCGATTATGTAAAAAAATATTTTCAAAATCATGTATACTTTTTGAGATGATAAGAATCGACTGTTGAAAGAATTGTCCTGTATAAAATTTAAGGTACATATACAATATCACTTTTGCTGCTAAAACCTATACTTAACCTGAACTGGTAACTGGTAAAAAGTATTTAATTATTTATATAAATTAATATTTATTAATGCTACTGCAGGAGTAAATTTAATACCACTACCTAGTACCTAAGCAGTCAGCAGATATATAGTGGTATGTGTACAATGTACATCATACAAACAACACTCATAATATGTAAGTAGATTCATATTTGAAAAATTAAAATTTTTATTAAGTAGACCAATCAAATAGATCTGATGATAAATATAAACTTTTTTATACTTAAAATACTTATGACGGGTTGCATGAACAATCGCTTAACATTTAGCAAATTAATAGTGCGCTAATGGTCATTAAAACATGATTTAGTGACACACGATTGGTATATTACATTTTATTGAACCATTAATACATTTTTCATGCAACCCGGCATTAAGGTTCTATCAAATTGATACTTGTAAATTTATGTAATATAAAAACATTTAATAACAATAATACTTGGTTGTAGTATGTAATTATTATTATTTCTAATCGATTGGAATTAAATAGTTAGTTAAAATAATTAATTGTTCTAGAAATCAAACTATCATTGGTGATTTTCTCCGTTTCTTAATATTTCCAAATATTTTACTCGAAGTCATAAAAAACATTTTTAAGTCAAAATGATTTGTTTTTCCTAAAACATTTAAATAAATTCCTAAAACAATAAGTAATCCAGCCCAAACATACCTAAAAAAAATTAAAAAAATAATATTAACAATAACATTAATTAGTAAGTAGTTTTAGTTTATGTAATTTTCTTACTGAAATGTAAATGGCTTTGAAAACAATAAAAATGATATCACTATTGTTACAGCTTTCCGACATGTAGTCACAGTTACAGCAACTAAAGCACCACAAGTTCTTATCAAAGCAAGTACAGCTTGAACTCCAAAAAATCCAGAGAGAGAAAAGAAAAATATGTATATATAAGTCACTGGATTCTACTAATAGAAATAAATTAAAACAATATTAATTTAAAAATTAATTTCTATATTTCAACCTGAATGCAGAATTCTGTTCCATCTCTTAGTTGTCCACTCGCCAACAAAACAAATAACAAATATATAAATCCTATTAAATAGGAGTATAAAACAATTTCCGCATTGGATGCATTATGTTTTTTCATCATTTTTTCTTGAAAATTACCTATAAGTGCATCACAAAATAATGCAGAACTTATCAAAATTATACCTAAAATTTAAGAAAATAAGAAAAATAATATAATTTGTTATATTAATATTTAAAAAATAACTACACTCTATTCAAGATAAAAACAGAAGGCCTTCTTTGGTGCATGGGCTTCGAGAGTTGACTTGATGGGGAAAGTGTTTGACACCGCCTAGGTCTGTTCATATCTTAAACAGAGCATAGCTTAAAATATTATTATGATATAAGAATACAATATACCTATAAGATTGAAATCTGGTGAAACTTTATTATCAGCTAAAGTAAATAATATTAATCCTGCACACATACACGATGCTGCTACTATATCAATAACTTTATATACTTTGTGCTGTACTAATACTCCACCAATCATAACTGGTATCAGTTTGCAACACTTAAATATGACTTGTGTTGGGTAATTCAAGTAACCAAGTGAAGCATTTGAAAACCCCATTGAACCTAATAATATCAGTCCCAATAAAAGATACAAGACCAGTGGTATCCTAAAAACAATTATCATAAAATGAAAAATAATAATTTATAAGTTCAAACATTTTATGAATATAAATAAAACATATTACTAATTTTGGTTTTCAAAATTAATAATTATTACAGTTAAATTAATTTTAACAAGTTATAATGGCTACGTACATTTTTTTATAATCCTGTAATTAAAATTGAATTGGGTCTTAATGTTAAAACTTTTCATAATTTCATATTATCCACAATATCTAAATAAATCTTATGACTGACATTAATAATGTATAATAAATTGATAACCAATAAATTTAAGGGGAAAAAATTGATATTCTAACAAAAATACGGTGTAGATTTCAGACTAAAACATTTTTTTGTTCTATATTAAGAAAAATTATTCTCTAAATTAGGTTTAAGCTAATAAGAAGAAACTTCAGTTATTCATATTTGATAGTATAAATTGTTATTTAGGTTTAGGTATTTAAATTTTATACATTTTTATCTAATTACCTTCGTTGTGTACGATTGAATTGACTCTCTATTAATCCAAATATCGAATAATTAAAAAACTGCACCAAAGTTAAGTACCATCCAAATGGTTTAAAACCTTTAATTGAAAATATTGCTTCCTAAAAATAAAATATTTAAATATATGGACATATTGAATAAAATTATAAAATGCAATTTACTTGTAGGTATCCATACGGAATAAAAAAAATAAACACAACAACTGAACAAATTAAAAATTGCCATAATTCAGAAAAATGACCAATATCAACCCATAGAAGTTTTCTCGATGATTCTTCTTTTTTATTAGGTAATAATTCTGCATTACCAGAATCGTTTATGTAAATTTTGGCTTCCATTCAATTACACAAGTGTCGAGTGTTTATATCTAGGACAAGAACATTATTAATTTAATTTAATTATCACTAACAATTGTTAGGTATAGAAACGAACAATAATTTAAATGATATTGGACATCAATGTTGTCTCTCTAATAAAAAAATACTTTATCAGACATTCGTATGTTAAAAACAACTTATTTAATGTCTTGCATAAGGATTTTAAATGACATTAGTGTTCACAAATATACAAACAAATACAAATTAAGAAAGATATTAAACAATTTAACTAATAATTGATATCTATGACAAAATATATTATTTTATCATGTTAATTGTTATTTAACATTTCCAAATATCAGGCCCGAACGCCCTGAACCCAGAACAATCGTCAGAAATCAGTTAGTCAGATTCTCAGATACTCGGAAATTCAGAACTTAGGTACCTATCGGAAATTCGGTAAACAGAATCCGGTGCCAGGTTAGTGGCAATCACGATTAAAGATAGCAGTGTGACAATATTTTGAAAACCAAATTCCGCGACTGATGAGATCACTACGATAGAAATTGTATGCCTGTATTTTGATCAACCTGATTTCGTCGCTGTGATAATGTTAATATTTGTAATTGTGATAAAGTATAACCATTCAAATCATAGACATAAATATTAAATTTGCTTATATGTCTATGAATCGAATAACTATATTATTATTGTTTATTTGAATTTACAATTTATTATATTTTACAATTCACCAAGTATTGGAAGTCGGGGAACAGAATAATACCGAATTTCTAACTTCAATGTTGTTGTGGTAACTACAGTTACATAGGTAATACTACCTATAGTATAACTAGTGTAAGGAATAACTTAATTCTTTTTTATATTAGAGGTACTACGACTACCATTGATTATAATTACTAGTAGTGTAATAGTACATTTTATAATCAATTGCAGTACATAAGTATTTACTAATTTAATATTTTAAATTTTTTGTAATAATACTGAATACGTAATAGATCTATTTTGTCATGAATCATGATTAATGCTCAGTAAATAAATATAATTTATTTTTTAAGTTTTGAATATTTTCTTTTCCTTTAAGGTGTGTATAAATTATACCATATAAATTGTATCATAATAAAATCATTACCTAACTAAACGGAAGCTAAGTCATACTCTATACCATGATGTCTGTTAGTAAATTTCGTGAAGAATTGAAGGTAACTACATTTTCATAAAAAATTAATTTGATAAACAATTAGTGCTGTACTTTTATGTTTTAGAATATTCTTATAGAACCAAATACTACAACAATTACTTCTATTAAAAAAATTGTGCACGAAAACAATTATTTCAATCTTAGGTAAATGAATTGGAGAATATTATATAGAATAAATTTAGCAATGTTTATTTAATCATTGTCATGAAAAAAATTATTTTTTTAAAATCTAACTTCAAATGATTTACAATATTTATGACAATTTTTCATTGTTTAATAAGTGATGCGGATCGACGTTCAATATTGGATCAAGTGTTAAGATGCTATGTTTTAGACATAGTATTATCAAAGCCATCAAATTTATATGATGTTTGTAAGATGTGGACATCATTTACAATTGAACTTGTACGGAATGAAATGTGTACTGCTATAATGCCAGTAGTTATTTTGTCAGACATGTTTGATGTGACTACTATGGATGTTTGTGAAAAAATGTTTGATCATGTGGAATCTAATGTAAATGTTCTTAAGGAGCCCCAATTTTTCATGGCGTGCAAGAACAATTTATTACGAATGTGCAATGGTAATATTTAATTTTTAATTTTTGTTGTGACTATTTCAGAGGTATCTATTTAAAAATAATAAACTTATTTTCACCAGAAGTGCTTATTTGAATTAATGTTAAAGGGGCAATTTTAGTGAAGCGAAAAAAAGTTGTTGGTTTTGAAATTAAAAAAATTATTAACTGTACGAGGTGTGATCAAAAAATACCCGGATTATTCATTTCAAATTTTATCAACACAATTTTATTCTCAATACACATTATCACCTTCAAATTAATCTTCCTGGGAAGCAATACACCGCTGCTATCATCTTTTCCACTTTTGAAAACATTCCTGTTAGGCACTAATTGGAATGTCCTTAAGATCGATTTTCGTATTTTGTTAAATGTCATCAATTGTTTGAAAACAAGGTCCTTTGAGCGTAGATTTACCTTCAGAAATAAAAAAAAGTTGCACGGAGCCAGTTTCTTTTATTTTACTGGTCGAGGGTCTACCAGGTTTCAACATCCTTAACAGATGTTCTACCTTCCGTAAACCACTCAAAACATGTTGTTTGAGACAGAACATCATCTCCAAAACCTTGCTACAAAAGTTCAAAAGTTTCACTAGAACTTTCCCTAATTTAAAACAAAATTTCATGCACACACTTTGTTCTTCTATTCCTTCCATTACGAAATTCGCCACACGACTGAAAAATGTTTTTGTAAAAATGCCATAAAATAAAAATAAATATTGTTATCGATTTCAAACCAACTCTCAAGTCCTCGTTAGAAGTTACTTTATCGAAAGTCATTATGAGGGTTTCGTTATCTTCATTGATATAAATATTATTAACACAGTCTGGGTATTTTTTGATCACACCTCGTATATTTAATAATTACAAGAAAAAGTAAAAAATACATAACATTTAACAATAAATTTTGATCTATGAATATACCATTTTAATATAAAATCAGTATCTAAAATATTGATTTTTTAATCTCCATTTACTGTTTTTAATAATTTAAATGTCTAAAATTGTCTAAAAAATGTTGAATGTATTGTTAGTGATTACTAACATTATTTACACAATATGAAGTACCTAATAATTATTTAAATATTAACTAAGATTGAAGAAAGCAACAAATAGGAATATTAATTTATAATATAATGTCATATAGGTTTATAATTGTTTAGTATTGATTTTAAAACTGATTTAACATAAAAATTTTACGTCGCATTATATATTTCTATTGTAAAAATATTTTAAATTACTTATATTAATGTTGCTATTTTATTTTAGATCTTTTACGTCGTTTATCACGATCACGGAATACAGTATTTTGTGGGCGGATTTTATTATTTTTGGCCAAATTTTTTCCTTTTTCTGAACGTTCAGGTGAAACAATTAATATTTAGAAGCTCATTATAATTATTAATTTAATTATTTTTTTTACAATATTTTAGGTCTTAACATTGTAAGTGAGTTTAATTTAGAAAATGTAACTGAATATTTGGATGAAAATCATTTTGATCAAACTGAATGTATGTCAGATTTAATTCCTGAAGATGAAGCTAAATCAGATATTATAATTGATAAGTATGATTTTAGCCGTATAAACTATTTATAAGCTTAAAACATTTTTGATTCAAATCAATTTTAATCTTAGTGATTAGTTTTAATATGTAGGTACATCCTGTATAGTACAAATATTTAAATTTATTATCATTTTTACAGAGTAAATGTTGACAAAAATCTTTATTTAAAATTTTGGTCATTGCAAGATTACTTTAGGAATCCTAATCAATGTTACAAAATAGAACATTGGAAATTGTTTATCTCTGTATGTATATTTTGAATAATCTAATCACTAACACATTAAAATAACTATAAATTTTGATTTAGCATACAGATTTCATATTTTCAACTTTTCAAAGTCATAAGTTGGAACATGTTAACAGAATGGATAATGAAAGTGTTGAACAAAATATGCATTACTTTCCGAAATATTTGACAAATCAAAAATTATTAGAACTGCAATTAAGTGATGTAAATTTTAGGCGTTACATCCTTATACAGTTTTTATTGCTTTTCCAGTATTTGGATGCTCCTGTTAAATTTAAACTGTTAGTATGAAAGTTATGAAAATTTAAGCAAAACTAAGTGTTTGTGTTTTATAATTGACCACTTTTTTTTTTTGATTTTAGTGATAATTTCAAGATTAAACCGGAACAACAAGAATGGATTAAAAATTCTATTACTACTATTTATGAACTAATTAATAATACACCACCTGATGGCGTCAGATTCTCTGAAGTAGTAAAGAATATATTAGAGGTAAAAATATATCAACCACTTTTTATTCGATATTCTTATTTGCATAATCCATGAGATATATTCAATATTTTTATATGTGTATTTTGTACTAGAGAGAAGAACAATGGAACAAATGGAAAAATGATGGTTGTCCAGAAGTAACAAAAAGACTTCCTACAAGTGATCAAAGTGATATGCCCGCACCCAAACGAAGACTTCGAAGAAATTTAGGGGATGTTATAAAAAATATGACTGCTAATAACAAAGTTTTTCTTGGAGAGTAAGTCATTATTACATTTTTATTTCCAATTGATACCTAATGTTTTTGTGATTTTATTTTATTAAATGTTCAGCCCTGATCTAACTAAGCTATGGAATTTGAAGCCAGATAACTTAGAAGCTTGTAAAGGACCAGAACGAGATTTTTTACCATCATTTGATTCATTTTTCCAGGAAGCATTTGAGCAATTGGATCCGGAATTGTGTATTGAAAATCAATACAAGTAATTCAACAATTTATTAATTTTAATGTATTTTACTATTTATATTTGTACTAACATTTTATTGTATTAAACACGTTTAACTATTTAATAGTAATCGTTTCCTTAAAATTTTTATTTTACTTTGTATTTCATATTTAATTTATAGTATAATTTATATTAAATTAATTCATTTTTTATTTTAGAAAAGTCAATGATGGCAATTTTGGGTGGCGTGCACTTAGACTGTTAGCTCGTAAAAGTCCACATTTTTTTGCTCAAAGCAATAATCCTATTCATAAATTATCTGAATACTTAGAAAATATGATTAAAAAAACAATGAGCAAAGAAAAAATAGTAAGTATAATGTTTATGTTATATTTATTTATTTAATGCATAGTTTAAACTTTAACTATTAACATGTTCACTGCGTATCATTTGAGTATAATGTCATAATGCTGAAAAATTTTAATTTAAAAATAAAAATAAAAACTAACATGTCAATGTAAGACTTACATGTGTTTAAGAAATAATGTTTATAGAGGACGCTAACAAAAAACAAAAAGGGTAATTGCAACGCTGAATAAAATGTAGTGCCGATGATTGGTGTTATTTAACAAATGCGAACTCTTTAAATTGACGACATTTGACATCATCTGCAGTGAATGTGTGAACTAAAAAATAGTCTGATGTCTGAAGTCCCAATAGAATTGATATAACTTTAATTTCTCAATATTTGTTTAGTCCATCAACCAAGGTTCTGATAAGCATGTATCACCAAATAAAGAATTTAAAAAAGAAACTGTAATTGAATCAGAAGAAGTTGATATCTCTGAAGGAATTCAAGATGAGAACGAAAATGAAAATAATATAGAATCAGAAGATAAAAATAAGATTTCTAAAC